GGGGGGGGGCAGCGGGCAGGGTCGGAAGCAGTTCTTATTGTCTAGGCTAAATAATATTAAACTCTTTTAGACATTCAGACGCCCCACCGAACTAAGAATTAGAGTTCCTTGAATTACCTGTACAAGGACAATTTCATTACTTCCTGCTCGGCTTCGAACATCGGATTTGCTTGTGGCATATCAAGTCGTAGTGCGTTTATTAATGTCGTTGTAGTTTTACAATGAAATGTATGGCACATACAGCACAATAGGGTCATAAGTGCCGAAGAGTAGGCCCCAATCCTGTTAATGTCGACTATTACTACATGCATTCACCTACAACCCCACGACAACGACTAAAACTAACAAACATTAAAGTCCATCATCGTGGGTGGTTGGCGGGTGCTCTGGTGTGGTTTGCTTCTTCTTTCCTATCAAACATCTATCGTCCTTATCTCCCCCTTTTCTTTTTTATGTTTGTTACTCTCTTGTAACTTGTAACACCTCTTATCTCCTGGCGCTCATATGACCTTATGCAGTTGCGAGCGCCGTAAAACCTCTACTAAAACAAAACAAAAGTCCATCATCATTCTTTGTTGTTGTATTCACAGACAAGAAGACAGCGCCAATAACTCAGACCAAGCCTACAGCATCGACATCAACTACCACCACCACAACCACCACCACAACTACCACCGCAGTCGGAGCTGAGGAATGCCAGGACAAACGCATCATGTGTAACTTGTGGGCCTGGCAAGGCCACTGTGTTGAGAAGAAACACGAGGTGTTCATGCAAAATTGGTGTAAGTTCAGCTGCGGGTTTTGCTGATTTTAATTTTTTTCTGAAACGATACATGTATATTCTTATTGTTGTCAATATTGTTATTAAATTATTTTATGGGGGTGATTTATCTTTTTTGTTTGCTGATTTATGTACCAATAAAAATGTTCTTTAATATTGTATTTAATTTGTCAATTATATAACTTACTTGTATAGGTTTCTATATGGAACCTGTTAACCTATTATTTATTTTGCGATCCAAGGAGGAAGCGATCGATCGACGCACAACTTTAAAAAAATACTTTTATGCCTATTGTCGTTTAGTTATTGTTATCTATCAGTTTATTAGAAGTGAAATCAACAACACAGTAGAAAATGTAGAATGTAATGATTTTTAAATGCTCGTGCGTCATGATGAGCTGAATCATTTGAATGGTTTGAAAACTTTCATGGGGTCCACATTGCTGGCCAAGAATTGGAAAAGCTTACTGCAGAAATTCTCGTTTATGTTATTAGCTATTCATTTCTCAGCTAACAAGGTACGAAACGACCAATCGACCCTTAGCCTACTTTTATTTTCAGCAATTACAAAGATCGCGTCACTCTGTTATTCTGCGCGGTTTCACCAGGAGGAAATCGTCAAACGGAGAAAATTATCAGAAATCATCAGTTTTCAACAGATTAAAGCACACCAGCGTTGTTTATATCTCGTTGAATTCTATTATAATGATAAGCTACCGGACTCGTAATCGTGAGGTTGCGGGTTCGGGGGTTCGAGGTTGTTTCAGAATGCTCTCAGGTCTGCTGGGGTAATAGTAGAGATTGGGAAACGCATAGAGCTTGCTGTTGGGCGGGGATTTGCGTTATACAAATTCTATCTATTATTATCATTATTATTATTATTATTATTATTATTATTTATATATATATATGTATATATATATAATTATTATTATTATTATTATTATTATTATCACTATTATCATTATGGAAAAGCGATGAGGATGCTTTGCAGTACGTTTTTTTCCCTCCCACGTTTCCTTCAACCTGGGAGGAGGGCCAATACATGTACACATTTAAATTTTACGTGTTTATTTAACATTTATCACTGTGGAATCAGTCAGTCCACTGATTTACTTTAAACGATCTCAAAAGAAATAACTTTTTGTTGATTTGTGGAGGAACACCTGTTGGGTCCGGACCCCCCCCCCCTCCCCCCCCCCCCTCCCCCCGGGATATAGAAAGTTGTACATATTATGTAAAGTGCGGTGGTGCGGTCAAAAATCAAAAATTCATGGCGCAACTTATTGTCCAATATTTCCTAACTTATTGAATTAGAATTTCCAGCTTTTGCACAATGACTTCTATCGATTTGTGTCAACATTTTTATAAACACCGGTTAGTTGTATTCTAGAAAATACTTTAATAAATACTAATTAAAAATCGAGGTGGATGTTGTTTACTGATACCAAAAGGGTTTGTTTTTTCGTAAGAGTTTTATGGCACTTGCAACACAATAAGGTCATATAAGTGCCGAAGATAAAAGGTGTTACAAGAGAGTAACAAACACAAAAAAGAAGGAAAGATCAGGGCAATAGATGTTTGATGGGAAAGAAGGAGCAAACCACACCAGAGCATCCGATCTACCAACCACCCACTCAAAAGGTTTACAGCAGGGTCAATGTAACTTTTTTAAGCAAATCCGTCATTTTTTTTTCTAATCACGACATTATGATTATGCTTATTATTGAACGCACCTTTTGTGCAAAAAAAAATGAGTTCATTATAAAATTAATTTCTTGTAGATCTAACAAAGTTTTGCCACAACAGAGTGTCATTGGTTAGCAGTGACGTAGGCCATGATATTGCGTATGCAAATTGTGTGTAAGAGCGAGAAGTACTGTGAACAATCCTATTTTCTGCGTGGCGGAGATAAAACTTTGTGAAGAAAAGTTTTTTGTGTGTTGTTTTTTTTTATCTCGCTTCAATTGTTATGGAAAAATATGATTAAGTTAATTAAGACAAATAGATGCAAATTGCTGTGCCAAGTATGAGTGATATTGATCCATACTTTATAGAGATATTTGAGGATAAGTTGCGACACGAATTTTTTAACGTTATTGAATTGTAGTGTACTGACGTCCTCGTGAAAATAAATGCATTGGAACAACGTTTTAGTCCGGGGGGGGGATTAAAATAGACAACAAAAAAAGGGCAACTTTTGTTACTTCCCTTTACGCGTGCAGCGAAACTCTTGAGTTTTATTGCAGTTCAAGCAAAATATTTGGGGACAGTTCTCTCGAAAAGAGTTCAACAGAATATTGTTATACCATGACTGACCACAGCGCGTTTTTCATGACCTCACCTGCTATCTTTTCTCTTACTTAACCTTCTGTCTGAAAAAGTGACAACATACCACCAGTGTCAGTACCACATACAAATAGGCCTACAAAGTACTTGTAACGAGTGACACGACGATGTGGAATCAGGTGCTCTTCAATTTTGGGGCACAAGGAGTTTATTGCTACGGTAGATGCATAATCTTGATGATTGTTTATTTGCCTTACTTATGGTGAAAAAATACTCAACTCAAAGAGAAGTCAAGATATTTGTCAGAGAAGAAGACGGGGATCGCTTGGTATCAGTATCGGTATCAGCAGAGATAAAATAAGAGTGAAAATTACAGTCAATGTTTGACGACTTCCAAAGTTGAAGTGTCCTTGAAAACTGCAAATTCACATTTTTTTGTGCCTTTGACAAACTTTTTTCAGTGACATCCACAAATGAATATGTTTATAAATGGACATAAAAGGTGTTGAGTCCAAAACAAAACATTTGATAAAAGTTATCCAATGTGCATAAAAAATATTATGTTTCTTTGATTTCATCATTTTGACGCGAGCCTGATTTCACCATCATGCCTCACATTATGACGTGCCATTGTAATGTCCACAAGCCAGTGAATAAAAGCAGAAGTAAAGTAAAAATTTCTTCTCTTAAAATCTCATATCTTGGGTTCTTTGAATCGAAATAAAATTTAGCTAATTTTTGGGGGAAAGCTTTTTTTTTTTTTAGTAGAGGTTTTACGGCGCTCGCATTTAAGGTCATATGAGCGCCAGAAGATTAGATGTGCTACAAGAGAGTAACAAACATAAAAGAGAAGAAGGGGAGAAAAGGACGATAGATGTTTGATAGGAAAGAAGAAGCAAACCACACCCGAGCACCCGCCAACCACCCACGAAATCTTATTTATACCACTTGTACTTGTATAAGTTTAAGACAAGATGAGAGCCACTGGTACGATCCAATGCAAGTTCAGAAGCCAACTTTCTTTAAAGCCAACTTTCTTTAATTCATCAGGCTTTATTACACGCTGGCGTAGTTATGAAAGGTGTCACACCAGAATCATCAGGAAGACACAATCAATATTCTTTGGCCTCATAAATAGAAGAAATGGACTTGAGGAACTGCTACCACAGTGTGGAAAGATATAACACAGGGAATGAGGAAGGCAGATAAAAACATACACTGACAGCTTAACAACTTAATGACAAACAACACTATCAGAAAGGAAAACGAACAGATCAGGAGGACTGAAAACAGGAAGGAATGGGGAACCATGACCTGCAATGTCAGCCCAGGACCTTGCACTTGAAGAAGAAGTAGTAGAGACCGAGTACCTAGCCTTCTTTGAAAAGGATGAAAAACTGAAGTCCCATGCTTGTGAAGCACATTTTGGTAAAGAAGAATTAGGCACCTACCCAGACAAATCTAAAATAAAACATACCCATAACTGGAAAAAAGTCTTTGGTCAGCACAAATAAAAGAGTTCTAATTTCTTCAAAATGGAAAACAGCTGCCTGAGAGGTACGGCTGTTTTATCGTGATAATAGGTCCACAAATCAGTTGCACTGTTGAAGTTGAACAATGTACAGTTGTTTACCTCTGAGATAGCAGGAGGGAATCAGAAGTAGAAGGTCTCTATTTAAACAACAGTTGTACTACAGCGCCTTTTAAGCGCCACAGAGGGATAACATTAATAATGTAACAAGAGTAAAGAGAAAGAAGCAAACACAGAACTAATGAACCATGATTCGACAAAGCAGTAACTTTATTCATTCACATTACACATTCAATGGTTCCAAAAACTGTCAGATCATTGAGACTTTTAATACATCATACACTTTGTGTTCAAGTCAGGCCAATTCTTGACTGACTGACTTAGAAGTCAACCCTATGGGCTACCCTAACAACATACATCTCAGCATGGCTGCAATCCAAGCAGTCACCCCTGGAGGCTTAAGTGTACAGATGTTACAGACAGGCTCAGAGATTAAGTCAAAGTCAGGGGCAATTTTTTTTTTTTAATGGAATTATTTATAAACTGTTGAGAAAAATAGCATACATGATGAATGACTATGAACAATACATCGAACATCTAATCCATCTTTCATTAGAACCATGACATAGGATATCTCTATCACTATCATTCTCTCTTCTTTCAAGCAAAACATGTGCAGAAGCAATCCCCCCCTGACAACACAACACATAAGATATATCATACAAACATGCTCACAATGTTTGCTCAACATTCTTTCTGGGGACACGACACAAATCATGAAATCTAAACTACTCACTCTAAACATAGTAAATTAGTGCAAAGAAAATTTAAAATGTATGCACCAACCTTTCTGGTTGAAAGCTATAACAGCAAACCGGAAATTGAAATACTTTCTCCCGCATGTGTTCTATCTGTACATCTGCATCATGTGTTACATTTGTACATCCGTACTACATGCTGCAGTTGTGTACTATGTGCTGCATCTGTATGTATGTAAACGCACCAGTAAACCATGCAGTAATGCAGATTTTACATAGATAACTCGATTACGAAAATTAAAAACCTTTTTGGTCTGAACAAAAAAGATGTAGTATACCATACAGTAAAACATATATCCCAGCCTGATCAGACATCAACCTCATTGGATCTGCAGATGGTGTGACAATGGATGTAAAAATGTTCTACCTGCATGATATGAAAAGTCGGTCAACAATGAAATCTCATAAACAAGTAGGCCAACCAGCTAAGAACCCAGTGATGTCACTGCACCACACAACACAAGCAATTGCTACACCACGTGCACACATGTACAACAGAAAACATTCTGTGGGCCATCTTATGGCATAAAAGACCTCATCATACGACCTCCATTCTGACAAAACATCTCATATTTCAGCATAGTGAGCAACAAAAACAACTGCATTCAGAACATAAAATGGAAACAAAAATCAGAATGTGCACTAATCTGTGTCACGAAGGTACATCAGATGTGCGACGGATTTTGTTGGCCAACATCTTTCCATAACCACCACGGGCTTCATCATAATCTGTTCTGTATTCATCACGCACCTGAAAAGCACAATTTTAAAAAATAAATAACTGAGACACACACAGACAAAATCATCTTTTAGTTCTAATACAGGTTTTACGGCACTCGCAACTGCATAAGGTCATATGAGTGTCAGAAGATTAGAGGTGTTACAAGAGAGTAACAAACATAAAAAAGAAGAAGGGGAGTTTTAAGGATGATAGAATGTTTGATAGGAAAGAAGGAGCAAACCACACCAGAGCACCCGCCAACTTACTTCAAAACGTCATAAAATCCTTATTCTATTATTAAGTCGTATCATAACCATTGAGGTATCATTTTGTTTGTTATTTTATATAGAATCAAAAAATAAACAATAAACGTCCAGTACATTGAGAGTAAAATTCTACTTAGCATTTAACTACGTCACAAGTGTGACATCGGAAGCCCAATGCCTATAATCAAAAATAGGGGCACGCTTTCCATAAAATAATGATCCCATTTTCAAAAGAAAACCATCGATGATTTTGTTTCAAAGAGTTCTAACTTGCTATTGGAAAAAAATTATAAAAATTCAAAGCGGTTTCGTTCCTACATGCAAAACTCAAGTAGGGGGTTGGTGGGTGCTCTTGGGTGTAGTTTGTTCCTTTTTTCGCATTAACAATCTACCGTCATTATCTGTTCTCCTTTTCTGTGTATGTTACTCTCTTGTAACACTTTCAATCTTCGGTACTTATATGACCTTATTGTGTTAAAAGTGCCGCTAAACCCATACTAAAACTAAACTTAAAAAGCATAACACAGATTTGAAGAATATTTAATGAGTATGGTATAAAGCCGAAGATTGATACAAGAATCACCATAGATATATTTGATGATAACTGAGGAGCAAAAAGGCACTTTTTGTTGCATGTAGCATCTTTCTTCATGGTTAATGGTTGTTTCATCAGTGGAAAAGAGCAATAGGCTTACGATACAAATGCAGTGAATCCTGGAAAGACGGCGGTGGTGGAGATGAGAGAAATAAGATGACAAGAAGGATATATAGAGAGAATGTATGTGAAAATGAAGAGCAGGTACTGTAAGTGGGATGGAGAAGAAAGGAGAGGAACGGTTATGAAAAGAGGCAGGGAGTGGGAACACACGAAAACAGAGAGAGAGAGGGAGGGGTGTGTGTGTGGCAGCGGGTCCCATATCAGTTCCAGTTCTTAACATTTATTTTTCAATCCAGTTCATGGACGGAAAAGAAAGAAAATCCGGAAGCAGTACTTAAAAAAAACCTAAGAAACTTTATCAAGCAAAAAATTGCATCATATGTTCAAATTCTAATAGAAGCCTCAATTTAATTTTGACTTTGTTAACCCCATGAGCCTGGACTCGTCTTACTCCACAATGAAAGGCTTTGGGTAGGGACAAATATGGAGAGGAGAGCTCAGTGAAAAGGAAATGCTAGGCTGTAACTAGTCTCGTTTGCTTTATATTATATAATATTGAATGAAATTGGGTACAATTTAAGTTTAAGGTCATTGATTATAAAACATACCAAAATTGATTGACCTTTCAAACTGAAGTTAAAAAAAACTGAAGTTAAAAAATGTATTTCCCTGTCTTGTACACTTTGAACAACCAACAGAGGGAGCCGAGAGCGCGAGGCGTAAAATGCGTGACAACATGGCTCTGCGCAATGTCACGCTCAAGGGTTCAGCTAGGTTTTTGCGGATTTGGTTGATAAAAGGGTAAGACTACCCTAGACGAGGTAAGACTTTAAAGTTAACCATTTAAACGTTTTCTGGTAGAATAAAGAATGGTTTATCAACAAGGCAAGGGCGGTTTTGTTTTTTATATGGCGAGCAGATTTCAAATAATCAATGGTTATAAATTGTCCATTCTTCAACTTGAAATATCTCGAGACTCGGGAGTCGCACATCGACCTGGAACAAAACGTTTTTAAGGCCATCCAAAGGTCTTTAAAGACATGTATCAGATTTGATTGTTGGTTCCATAAATTAAACAAAAATACGGGCAGTTTGAACCCACCATTGCGACGAGACGTCATGTCCGGTACAAAACTCAATGTGACTTTCCGAAGCCAAATCGCGCCGCAGCGAGCGGGCTCACTGAATTGAAGTGCCTAACATAAGGGACACAAGACAAAAAAAGAAGAGGAAAAGACAGGGAAAGAAAAAAAGCAGAACCTATCTCAATGGTGTACTTCAACCACGCATCGGGAAAAGCAGGATACCAAACACGAACAATGAGGAGGAAAAAAACCTTATAACTTTTAGCCAGAGAGAACACAGAATTCTGTCTGCACAGCCACAATAAAAAGAATTATTCTTTAAAATGTTTTAATTAGTTTTAGTAGAGGTTTTACGGCGCTCGCAACTGCATAAGGTCATATGAGCGCCAAGGGGTGGATATCAACAGAGAAGTCCTTACAGGGAATCAGATTACTCTGCTCACCTCTCTAGCTTCGACAGCACAAAGTCTGCTTCGACTATCAAGGCACCCCGGAAATAGTGGGTCACAAGAGTGTGACAAACATCCAAAAGAAGTCGAGGATAAATGACAATAGTAAGGATTAGGAAAGAAAAAGCAGCAGTTCCCTGTTGTAGATCAGGCAGTTATGAGCGTGACATTGATGAATCAGACCTTTTACAATTCTACAGTGCATGAACGAGAAATGTTCCCCCTTTGAAAACGGCCTAAAGACACTTCCGTCAGTGGCACCGCCCTAGGGGGTACAAATGTTTTAAATGTCCAAGCTGACAAGACTGTTTGGACAAGGAACAGCAACATGGGTATTTATGAAACCGTTAACAATATGACAATGACTACAAAATTATAAATAATACACAAAACATCAATGAAAAGGATCTGCTCAAATATACAAAACTGGACAATGCTGACAAATTTTGAGTCTTGAAAAAGAATGCCCACTACAATTACTTGAAAGTCCACTTAATAGCATTCTCCATGTAATATACCATACTTCAACACCACTGGTTGGTTGTGAAAGTATGAATGTAGTAAGCTGAGTCGTTATTGGGCTGAATCATGTTGTGGGAGTGGGAGACCCTGGTTTGAATCCCCTTGGTATGTTTGAAGAGTTCCCAAGGCTTTCCACCGTTTTGTCTCTGTGTTTAATAGAGGAGAGACATTTTAATTGGAGTGCGCACCTCAAAAATAACCCTCCCCCCCCCCATCTTACCTGTCCTCCAGTTTTGCCCCGACCATACTGCCTGCCTTCCTTGAAGCCAGTGTCCCAGTCTGTACGTATGATTCTGTCATCGAGGCGAGTTCCATTAATGTACCGTATTGCTACTTCTGCATCACTTCTTGTATAATATCTAATGCTGAGTCAAGGTTGCAGAGCCAATAACATGTGCATGATTACATATTATATATATGTAATATATTTATGTGT